TCCCTAAGTCATTCCTCATAGGGCTGATGGTTTCCAGACCTTTTGCCATTTTAGTTACCTTCCTCTGGACATGTCAACATCCTTCTTGAATTGTGGTGCCCAGAACTGGACACAATATTGTACTGTTTTAAATTTGTTATTAGCTGCCTTGAGTCCCCATTTTGAGAGAAAGGTGGGATATAAGTAAATAAGACAGCAGCAGCAGCAATAATATAATGTATCATGCATTGCTAGGAGCCTTTGATAATGCAGCTTGATCTTTTTAGTTTTAACAGATGCAACTCACTTCTAGAATCAGAGAAGGTGATGGGACTTCATCACATTCCAGTGGCTAGGGAGCATGGTTAGGGCGGTGCAGTGGTCCTCCTGTCTGTATTTTGGGCTTCCTGCTAAGGCATTTGATCAGCCACTGTGCCTATGGGATACTGGATTTGATCGGTCTTTGTTTGATCCAGCTGTGTGAAGCTCTCCTGATGTTCTTACGAGTGGTTTGCAAACAGCTTGCACTTATCAAGCTTCACGGGTGGTGCTGAGCCCATACTGGTTAAGTGGCTTAAATTGTCCAGTTGCTCTGTGGTTTCTGATTTACATGTAAACAGTTTTTTTAAAATGTTCTTTTCCTCTCAGAATCTGGGTTAGGCTTGTGGATTAGTCATGATTATTAATCTTCTCTTGAAATTATCTGCCTCAAACAGTGTGTGTACAATATCATGGTAGAAATGTTGCACATGCCGAATTAAACCTTTAATCCAAGTGCCCTCATTGCTGCCCAAGGCACAACTACGGCCACCTCTGGGATGGCAGCTGCCAAGTGATGCCCCTTGGTGGGCATATCACTCCCTTGGACTACCCTCAAGTTGTGTAATGGGCAGAAGGCTGGGAGAGACTAAATTAGGATCACAATATTCCTGTGACCAGTTAAGACAGAGGAAGAGGACTTGGCAAAGAGATGCTATAGGAGGGGTTGACAACTGCCATGATCCTCTTTGTGATGGAGAGGTGCAGAATAGGGAGAAGGGGCCATACTGGGAAGCAGCAGTAGCAGATAGGTGTGATGGTTAAACTTTGTGTAGGGAAACACCAGGATTTATGCAGAGCCTTCAATGATACTCAGTCAAAGAGATGATTGACTGGTTGATTTTATCGAATTTGCACATGTCCTGCGGTCGGCAGTATTTGAATTTGCTTGAACTGGTTTCAAATCATCTGTTTTTAACCGATAAATGATTTAATATACTTTTAATATTTTAAAATCATTCTTATTTGTGAGTTTAAATTGACATTGTTGTAAATCAACATGAGATCTTCAGATACAAGGTGGGATATAAACATTTAAATAAATAAATAAATAAATGACAGGTTGTCAGCTGGTTTTGTGTTTTTTTAAAAAAAATAAAAAATTCCTTCCAGTGCCCAATGCTGTCAATAATTTTTTAACACAATGAAACCCTCATAAAACAAAGTGGCTTGCTACAGAAAAAGCTAGCTGCAGAACCTAAATCCGTCATGCGTAGAGTCTGTGGGTAACCCAAGGGCCATCTGGTCCAGTTTTCCACCATGCAAGTATCTGTTGCTCTAAGATACTCCTCTAAGAACCAAGCCCTCAAACTCTGGCATTTAGAGACCTCCAGAGAGGGAGAGCCCACCACTTTCCCAGGGAGTCTTTTCTGAAATAGGAACGGCTGTAAAGCCTCTCCAGAATCTTAGCTAAGAGGTGCTTTGCAAATTCCTGAAGGCAGAAGCCTCCAGAAATGTGGAACCGCTGCCATTGAAACACTCCTCTTTGCTGCTGCTCTCCTTAATTGCTTCCAGGATGAGACATTGAGCAATACCAGTCAACCTGGCCCTTGCGCTGACACAGAAATACCGTAAGTGACTCTTCAGGTATGTTTATTCCAGGCTGTGACGGGCTTTAAAGGGGAGAAACAGCAGAGAGGTGTGTATTTGGGCACAGGTAGATGGGGAGG